CTCGCGATAAAGGCAGAGGCAGACGATTACAAGGACTTGGTGTGGAGAGGGATGAGGAGACGTGACTTCTCTCTCTACAAGGAGTATGCCACTGATAGATGTCCTGATTTCAAGGACTATCACTGGTCGGAGAAGAATGAGCCCGTGGCTGAGGAAGTGAAGGAGATACGGGACATGGTGAAAGGATTGACGAGATAGGTTACAGAGATTGTAACCACTACAGGGGCCACGGCCTACCGGGACAAACCTGGAGGACCCTATTCACTTCGCTGGGACCGTAGGAACAACGATTCCTGGAGGAGTGTCGAGGATAGAAATCCTCGGAYGCTGACTGATTATCGTACGAGGGGAAGAGAGAGAGACGATGAGCCATGGCGACATAGGGATGATGAGATAGACCGAGACTGCAGAGATCGCGAGCCATTTGCACGAGCAATGAGGCTGAATGATTACCCGCGAAGCCCTCGCTATGAGGCCGATCGGGATAGAGGCGACTCCCGCGGCCGATGGGAGACAGATTAGGGCCGACGAAATGGATATAGGGACAACAGATATGAGAGATCGGACCGAGATGGATATAGGGACGACAGATACGAGAGATCGGACCGAGACGGATATTGGGACGACAGATACGAGAGGTCGGGTCGAGATGGCTACAGAGGTGGTAGGTATGAGAGAAGAGATCGGGACTGGGAACGACGAGATGGGTCGCGCGGACGATTTGAGCGCGGGGGAGATGCGAGAGAGCAGCGCGACGAGTCGCGGGGGTGGTACAACCGAGGGGACCGACGTGATGAGTCACGAGCGCGATATGACTCGGGGGACCGCCGAAATGACTCGCGAGGGCGGTATGAGCAAGGAGGGTCTGGAGGAGACCGCCGCAACGATTCGCGCGGTCGGAATGAGAGAGGGGGATATGGCGTCTCATCAGAACCATATCCCAAGTCGCCTGACCCCAAGGCAGCCAGGAGTTCGATCTCTAGAAGCGCAGACGACAGGCCATCTACTCCCAGAAACTCATGCTTCTACTGTAGAGGAGAAGATCATATCAAGAGGAATTGCCCGGACCTCAAACGGGCAATAGATGAGGGACTTGTCGTGCTTGACGACCGCAAGTACGTCAAGTGGGCAGATGGTTTGGGAGATATATCGATGTTCCCTTCGATGAAGGAGAATGTTGAAGCAAGAAGAGTAAAGCCGAGTAAAGAAAAAGAGTCAGTCAGAAGCCAGAGCATCAAGATAACCTTTGAGAAGGATATGGCGACCACACCCATAAGGGTGGCAGCCACCAAGTCGGCGAGAGGGTCTACATCGAAGAAGACTAACACGGATTATGTGATGACGGAGAAGGACGGGCAGCGGGTCGATGGAGAGGAGGTTATCCTTTCGCCGCGAAAAAGGGGAGTGAAGAAGTTCTTAATGAAGAGTTCGCTGGACGAGATTGACACGGTCGAACCACTGAGGCGGGCCCTTCGGCAACCMATGCAGTGCTCTATTYTGGAGTACCTGGCGGCATCGAAGCCGGCTCGYGATGARTTACAGATGATCACGCRGAAGACTCGCATACCTCTATCGGAGGAGGGTCAGGGGGCCCCTAAGGCGGAAGCTTCTACAGTAGCAGTAACGGGGGTGACTGCCAGAGCGGATCGCATGGCGACAGTCCTTCTCGATGGAATGGAAGGTGTGTTTCAAGACAAGTTTTATATACTTGGTAGCGGGGCCGTGGAGACGATTATAAACGATGGAGCGGTACTCGATGCTGTGATCGATAACGGCAGTGAGGCTGTCATCATAGACGAGGACCTGGCAGTACAGGTTGGACTAGGCCTCGATAGTTCATACCTATTCGAGATAGAAACTGCTCATGGGAGAAAGCAACAGATCACTGTGGTTTGTCACAAGGCAGCCATAGAGGTCCAAGGGGTACGAGTGACCCTGCCTATCTTTGCAGTCAAGAACTGCAGCTCCGACTTGCTCTTGGGTCGAACGTGGCTGAGCCACGTGCATGCGGTGACGATAGAGCGACCTGATGGGAGCCAAACATTGTCCATTAGGAAGCCAGACGGGACTCGGGTAATGATTGAGACAGTGGAGCCTCGGGACCCGAGGAACAGAGCAGCTCTCGCTGTGGGTGCGAGACCCAGTGATCAGATTAGGTCGTTACCTATCTCCGGCCGCGGGGTGCGATTTCGCGAGAAGAAATATGGACCACTGCTCACAGATGAAGAAGGTCGGATCGTGGAGGTGGAAGATTTAGGGAGTCGGCTAATAGTGGATGGCAACTCGTACCTAAAGGAAAGAGATGAAGAATTTGGCGGTGTGGTATCCGTGTCTTTTTTAAGGGCACGGCCCCCTATGGGGGACTACCCAAGCGACACAAGCGAGTAGCTCAAAAAGTTAAGCCAGCGGCGGTGGGCCRCGAGCGATCTGCACTGGAAGGGATATCGGAAGAAGAGATCGCGAAAGAAATCAAAGAAAGAAAGAGAAAGGGGCCGCAACGCCTAACGGAAGAGAGGATAGCAGGGATGGACATCGGAGATGGGAATTTGACCCCACAGGAGCGAGAACGTGTCATAGAAATCCTGAAGACATGTGATAAGGCCATAGCTTTTAGTGACGCAGAGCGCGGTAGGGTTGACCCTCAATACGCTAACCCGGCAAGGATTTACACGATACCACATGTTCCCTGGAATGACGCGGGATGGAAATACTCCCAGAAAGAGAAGGAAGAAGTTATCGCTTTCTTGAAAGAAAAGATGGTTTCCCACGTTGTGGAGCCGTCTGATAGCGCTTATGCTAATTGATGGTTCTTCCTACGAAAGTCGAATGGCAAGATCCGATGGATCCAGGACCTTCAGAAGGTCAACGCGGTGACGATACGAGACGTGGGCTCCGTGCCACATGCTGATTTACTGGCAGAAGGCGTCGCAGGTAGGTCGATTTATTCGGTCTGTGATCTGTTCTCAGGTTATGATGAGGTACCGCTTGACTTTAGAGACAGGCACCTCACGGCTATGCATACGCCATTGGGACTGATACAGATGATGGTTGTCCCTATGGGTTGGACTAATGGGGTAGCCGTTTTTCGGAGAGTTATGGTAGCCGTCCTCAAGGACTTCATCCCTGATAAGGTTGAAGTTTTTCTGGATGACTTTCCTATAAAAGGGCCAATAAACAAGGATGAGGCAGAGGTTGCACCTGGAGTTAGAAGATTCGTCGAGCAGCACCTAACGGATATTTGCGCGGTACTTGAGCAGCTGGACGATGTGAATCTAACAGTCAGCGGAACAAAGAATCAATGGGCCGTCTCGACTATTAAGATCCTGGGCTTTATCTGTGACTCGAGGGGACGCCGAGCAGATCCGGCGAAGTTAGACAAACTCCTGAACTGGCCGTCACCATTACATAGTCCAACTGAGGTCCGACAGTTTCTGGGAGTGGTCGGTTACTGGCGAATATTCATACGAGGGTATGCAGAGAAGGCTGATCCATTGAGACTACTCCTTCGAAAAACTGAGAAATTCTACTGGGATTCCTCGCAGGAACTCGCTATGCAAGAGCTTAAAGATGAATTTAGTAGCCACGGATGCTGGACCTTGTTCGGTAGGAGGGTTGCTGTCTCAGAAGGACGCTGAAGGGAAGGAAAGACCGTTAAGATTTGAGAGTATGACACTTAATACGGCAGAGCGAAACTACAGTCAWTTCAAGAAGGAAGTATTAGCTGTTCTGCGGTGTCTAGACACGTTCAGACATTATATCTATGGACGACGGTTCATCCTGAGAGTGGATCCCACCGCGGTCGCCTCTGTCCTCCAGAAGGACTTTAGCCTGACAGACCCGACCATTGTACGATGGTTAATACGGATTCGACTATATGATTACACAGTAGAGAGGATATCTGACACTAAAACTGTCGTAGCGGATGGGCTCTCTCGGATCCCTCTTGAGGGAGAACGCCCGATAGTAGCTGGAACCCTGACAATGGCGGAGCCGAGACGCACCAAGAGATTTCTGGTTAACCTTTACGAGGGCAAGTACCGAACGATCGGGCTACACCTGACGGGAGAGGAGAGTCAAGATTTAGATATCCGGAGACAAGCAGCTCAGTACTGTCTTAGAGCGGGCCACCTTTTCCGAAGGCCAGTAGGGTCGGGAATGCCCTTACGAGTAGTCTGTGATCCTGAGGAGAGACAGACGATAGTTGCGGAGCTTCACGACGGGGTAGTCGGAGGACACAGGGGAGTCAAAGGAACCTACGAAAA